AGTCATTCGACCTTAGGGAAGATGACACATGCGAGTCTTGTTTACTTGGAAAGATGACTAAGTCACCCTTCACGAGTACTTGTGAAAGGGGTGAGGGCTATTGGACCTAATACATACCGATGTATGTGGACCCTTTAGATCAACCACGAAGGATGGGAACCGCTTCTATGTGACTTTTACCGATGACTATAGTAGATATGGGTATATCTACTTAATCAAGCAAAAGTCAGACACCTTTGAAAAGTTCAAAGAGTTCAAGAATGAAGTGGAGAATCAATTGGGCAGGAAAATCAAGATGCTTCGATCCGATCGAGGAGGAGAGTACCTAAGTCTTGAATTCCACGATTATCTCAAGGAGTGTGGAATAGTTTCGCAATTGACGCCTCCTAGGACACCGCAGTTGAATGGTGTGGCAGAAAGGCGTAATCGAACCTTATTGGATATGGTTCGCTCTATGATGAGTCGTGCTTCACTACCTATCTTCTTTTGGGGGTATGCCTTAGAGACTGCCGCCCATATCCTTAACCGAGTCCCTACTAAGAAGGTTGCCAAAACACCTCACGAGATGTGGACGGGGAAAGCTCCCTCGTTGGCACATATCAAGGTTTGGGGTTGCGAGGCTTTCGTAAGACGAGATACTCACGACAAGCTTGAACCTCGAAGTGAGCGATGTATTTTCATCGGCTACCCGCAAACATCCTTTGGATATCTCTTCTATAGACCGAAAGACAATGTTGTCTTTGTTGCGAGGAGAGGAGTTTTCCGAGAGCGAGAACTCATAAGCCAAGGAGACAGTGGGAGGCAAATCGAACTTGAAGAGATTCAAGAGTCGATAGATGAAGGAACCTCTACCGCTGGCATTCAACCCGAGGAGGAAACTCCGGTTGAACCGATTGACGAATCCTTACCTCTTAGACGTTCCGATAGAGTTAGAGTTCATCCCCAGTTTTATGGTTTTCATATTACTACCGAAGGGGACACGTATATTAGTGATGGTACACTAGTAAATCTTGATGAACCTAATAGCTATAAGGAAGCCATGGCAGGCCCGGAGTCTGCGAAATGGAAAGAGGCAATGGATAGCGAGATCCAATCCATGTACGATAACCAAGTTTGGAATTTGGTTGATTATGTGCCCGAACGTAAGACCGTTGGGTGCAAATGGATCTTCAAGAAGACCGACGTGGATGGGAACGTACACACATATAAGCGCGATTGGTCGCGAAGGGCTTTACTCAAACCCGGAGTTGACTATGATGAGACCTTCTCACCAGTTGCGAAGATTAAATCTATTAGAGTGATGCTAGCAATTGCCGCATTTCATGATTATGAGATTTGGCAAATGGATGTCAAGACCGCTTTCCTTAACGGAAAGTTGGCTGAGGATGTTTACATGGCTCAGCCAGAGGGGTTTGTGGATCCGAAGCATCCGAATAGAGTGTGTAAGCTTGAGAAGTCCATTTATGGACTTAAGCAAGCGTCTCGCAGATGGAATCTTTGCTTCGATGAGAAAGTCAAAGAGTTTGGATTTGTACGAAGCGAAGACGAATCTTGTGTATATGTCAAAGCCAGTGGGAGTATAGTAAGCTTCTCGTTCTATATGTCGATGACATATTACTCATAGGAAACGACATCCCGACTCTGCAGGAAGTCAAGTCCTGGCTCGGGAAGTGTTTCGCTATGAAGGACCTCGGAGAGGCTTCTTACATTTTGGGAATAAGGATAGTAAGAGAAAGAAGTAAGTGACTAATTGGACTTAGTCAGAATACTTACTTAGAGAAGGTACTAAAACGTTTTAGTATGGAAAACTCAAAGAAGGGAGAACTACCGATACAAGGAAATGCCAAGTTGAGTAAGACTCAAAGTCCGAGTACCGAAGCTGAGATAGCAGAAATGAGCCGAGTACCATACGCTTCCGCAGTTGGCTCAATCATGTACGCTATGACTTGTACTCGCCCTGATGTAGCCTTCGCTTTGAGCATGGTTAGCAGATATCAAGGGAACCCTGGCAAAGCACATTGGATTGCGGTGAAAAACATCCTTAAGTACCTTCGGAGGACGAAGGAATGGTTCTTAGTCCTCGGAGGGAGTGATGACTTGAAGGTGAAAGGGTATAGTGACGCCAGTTTTCAGACCGATAGGGACAACTACGTTCACAGTCGGGCTGGGTCTTTACCCTAAATGGAGGAGCAGTGACTTGGAAGAGTTCCAAGCAGGAAACCGTAGCTGATTCAACGTGCGAATCAGAGTACATTGCAGCAAGTGAAGCGTCGAAGGAGGCAATATGGCTAAAGAACTTCATTGGTGATCTTGGAGTTGTGCCGGCCATAAAGGAGCCCATGGAGATTTTCTGTGATAACGAAGGTGCGGTTGCCTTGACCAAGGAACCAAGGGATCATGGTAGATCTCGACATATCGACTGAAAATATCACTTAATTAGACATCGTATACAAGAAGGACAACTCGTAGTGAAGAGGATATCATCAGAAGATAACCCAGCAGATCCGCTTACGAAGGGACTGAGTAGGGTTAAGCACTTGCAGCATGCTAGGAGTATTGGGCTGAAGGATGATATTAGTATAGATTAGATAGTATTAGAAACGTATAATAGATAAATGTAATTAACATTTGATGATTAAATAAAGGAGTTTTATTTATAAGTAAAGTTACTGTCATATGTTAATTGTTTAACTATTGTTTCACTTTGCATGTTTTGACTTCCAGAATAATTAAGTTTATTAGGAATAATAGAATTATTCAAATGGTCCACAATCGTTCATATGTTGGAGTAGATATGAATGAAGATTGTCATGAATTGGTGTGTAGAATGTCTAAATGGTGTTAGACATAGCAAGGGTTGCTGCAACGTTCATGAGTGCTTATGAACTGGTTTTGAGCATTGGAATAAACCCGCGCTTGCTGGAATCACTTTATGGAATACGATATAAAAGGTGATCGCAAGACGATAATATCATATAGTCTTAAAACCTAGATATATGATTTATTATTTGTTAATTGATTGTGCATTGATAATGCGAAAAACGCATTAGTAACTTGGTGTTATAAAACGCATTGTTGTGTATAGTTGGTTAATGAATAAGTAAATGCATATAAGTCGAAGTTTATCTGTAAATTTTATCCTAAGAGGGTAGAAGAGATATCTTGGCCACTCGATGATTTGATTTGACTTATGTGTCGGGCCCGGTCAGAACTGAATTGATGTGTTTGATTAAGTTCTATGTCAAATAAATCAGAGATCGAGAAATCTAAATATTTGACTAACCATTCCATAGGATTGTCAGCATGATATCTAACAGAGGACTGTACGATCCCTTATCTAAAGGACAAGATTGATTAGATCAGAGTTGACAGCGTCTTTGAGAGCTACGATTGCAAACCGAATTGTACTTGTATAGTTACTAGACTTATCCAAGTGGGAGACTGTTGGAATAGTGTCTAAGGCTGCAACTATATTAGACAAGTATTTGATCCGGTTGTGCATGGTCCTTTTGGGTTGCCTTCACCATAGCAACTTGATGGATGATTTGTTAAGAGAGAGTAAATATTATAAGGAATAATATATGGCTATTTGATTAATATAAGTCATAGATTAATTGGAATTAATTTGGTGACTTAAAGAGATTAATTAAATAAGAGGGTATAAACTGTCAATTGTTTGATAGTTTCACTTTAGACTATAAATCCTTATCCATGATAGGATGGACGATTACTAGGGCTTGGATAAGCCAAAATCGTCCATAGGGTTATCAAGGAAAGGATATGGATCAACTTAAAGTCTAAGTTATCCAATTAGGGTTAAAGCTGTAATCCTTAAGGAGTCTACAAGTATAAATAGGCCCTAGGGGTGAGGGAATTCGAGTAATCACAACACACCATCTAAAGTAGAGATACTCTGGCCGAATTCCTCCCCTCTCCTCTCTCCTAAATCATCTTGCTTGCTATTGGTGTTTGTAAGCCATTAGAGGAGTTACATTTGTGACTCTAGAAGCTCCAAGACAACAAGATCAACAAGGAATCCAAAGGTATGATTCTAGATCTATTTCAATGTTGTTATTTAACCTAATTAGCCATTAGAAGTCTTGGATTCAAAGCATGTTTAATTAGAAAGCCTAGATCCAAGCATTAGGGTTTTGCATGCGCACATAGGAAAGTTCTTATGGCTAAAACCCATTATTTAGGCCTTCAATATTGCACATGTTTCTCTGTTTTAATCACAAAGTTCGATGCCCTTTTCTTGCTCTTTTCTAAATTGTCATTCTTCTTCCTTCCCAACTGGCTCTCTGATTTTCTTTTGTTACTTGCGTTGCTTATGGTCAATATCCCGGCCCTCACTTTACGATTCGTAAGGTGCTGCACTAGGTCTATAGCGCTATGGATTGAGGTAGGATTTAATAAAGTAACCATGCCTAGGATTTCTGGTGCTAAACCTCATATGTATCGGTTAATCCTCTTGCTCTCAGGGGTGACCATGTGTGGCACTAGTTCATCGAGCTCATGCAAATACATATAGTAGCCTTCCGCATCGGCTCCTACCATGGCATGGTTCTAGAAATCGGATTCCATTTTCTAGATCTCATCCTTACAACAATATTCCTTCTTGAGTAACTCATTGAATTCCTCCCAAGCTAATTGGTTTCTTGCCTCCCTTCCACGGTTGTGGACATGTGCTTTCCACCACGTTAAGGCTCTGTCTTGGAGAAAGCATGCAACATAGGGATCCTTGCAGTTGTTTGAGCATTTGTTTATATGAAGTACGACCTATATTCCTTCTATCCATCTCAACAATCCCATCGCACCCACTTTTCCATGAAAATCCTTGGGTTTGTAAGACATGAATGATTTATAGGTACATCCCCTTGTTTCCTCATTATGAACTCCGCTTCCATCGGAGTTCTCAGTAGGTGTAGGGCCTCCGCGGTTTGTCTTGCTAGCAATGATTCCCGCAATGACTTTAGCCACAATGTTAGGGATATCAACCATTAGTTGTTGCGACACCAGTTGAGCAATATCAGGAGTGGCATTCTCAGGTTGTGTTCGGTGTGAGCGGGTGTTTCTTCTTTTGGGTCATGGTTCTATAACACACAAACAAAATTAAGGATGTTATTATTAATAATAATTTATTTTGAGGGAAATAATAATAATAATAATAATAATAATAATAATAATAATAATAATAATAATAATAATAATAATAATTATAATAATAATAATTATAATCATAATAATAATAATAATAATAATAATAATAATAATAATAATAATAATAATAATAATAATATATTTTCAAGAAATATTTCAAATCATCAAAACAATTTAATGTTCATGAACAATATTAGTGTGAAATAACATGGTGAGTGAAAATCATTAAAATAGACTCCATTCGAAGCTCGTAAATAAAAGGTTTAACGAAACATATTGCTTGACACTGCACACTACGAAAGACACTTCAACCATAGTTCTCAAAAGCCATAAACCAAAGTCATTACATCAAAATACATAAACCGTAAACCATAAAACATAAAACATGACATTTAGATTCAACCCTAAAACACAATCACCCAGATAAGTGCCACTGCCATAATCAATGCTAGCCCTCCAGCGATAGTGCTAGTGATCATAGCTCTAATTGTAGTCCTCTGGGCGGAGTATGCATAACCACACACCGTATCCACCACTTCTAACATGTAGGCAATGTTGTGATGATGATAAGAAATCCTACTATGGGCATCATGCAGGTCTCCAGCCATTGCTTCCATGTTGTGTCGCTCGTGACAAGTCATCACGGGTGCTCGCATATAAGGCGTCCCTATGACTAGGGGTTGAGGTTGACTAGGCTCGGGATGCTCATTCCTTGGTGTGGTGGTGCTGGCATGGGTTTAGTATGCTCGAACGTCAACACTTCTCTCGGCATTGGTGCGCCCTTTCTCGATGTCCTCCTTTGGTATAGTCCCTAAAGGGGTGGCTGATGCATCAGCTGTCGCGAAGGCTCGGGTATCGATGGGGATGAAGTTTCCTCATTTGGTGCCTGAATGCTCAATTCATCTGCAGTCTCTGATCCTGTAGACCAATCTTCAGTCGGTTCGGTGCTCGAGTCGCGGTTGAATTTCGAGCGCGTAGTAATGTAACCAGTCTCATCTGTCAATCCAAGTGATTGAGAGCTAGTGTTTGACATGACTACGTCGTACATGAGAAACTCTAATGTTTAGATGAATTTTTAGCATCGTAGCAAATTTCTATTATGTTTGATTTTTACGTTTATCCTAGGGTGTTCATACCATTCACTATAATCAATTCCTGTCTTGCTAGAATTAGGTGATCAGGCTATGTATAATTAAGGTCCAGTAGCGCATTACCAGAATTAGTTATACTAAATGGCATGTTTTATTAACTCAACGGTTATAGTTTAGGCTTCCCTAAGGGAAAGGGGAAGCCTCTATTCTCTAAAACCTTAGGCTCTGATACCAAACTTTTCACACCCCGTTAAAGCAGAAATACGAAGTGTGATAGGATAAGGTCTAATCACAAAGGTAAATAGGAGTACCAACCATAAACCTTAAGCGTTTTAGGTTTACATCGCGTAAAAAACAAATACATTTAGTTTTCACAATACATAGTTTAACACATAACAAAAGTAACAACTAAAACCATGTTGGCGTCTCATTGATTTACTGATTGTTCCCTGAAAAGCATGCAAAAACAAAGGTCAACTATAAAATAGTTGGTGAGTTCAAAGGTTTATAATAGTACATTATTTCAAAAATGTAGTTATTCTATAAAAGTTCCGATTCAAAAACGATGAATGCCATTACATTCTGTTCACAACCAAGCCTACCGACCATTCTTGTGCCATTCCATCATGTCCATGGTTCCCATGATGGCAGTTCATGGAAATATGCACTCGCGGTTCTAGGCGAGTGGGGGCTGTCGACCCCAAATAGCGCTATCCATAAGACCATTGGCTCGAATATGAGTTAATAGATTGTATCAGTTCTCCGGGGACTTAATCATACAAGTTCATTACACCAAATTCATAGTACAAGTTCATAATACCAGGTTCATACAACAAAGTTCATATCGTATAGTTCATAGCACAAGTGCATAAAATAATGTTCATAGAGATTGTAACATGCTTTCCACCCCAAAACATTAAAAATATAAAATAGGGGTTGTGAATACTCACTATGGAATGTTTTGTAGCTCAGGCTTCGCGGTTTGATGTTGACGAGTGTGATTCCTACTAGTGTCCTACGGAACAAATAGTTTTTAGTGAGATATAATCTGCTAAGCTATTTTCTAGGAACTACCTATCCAACTAGTGATGTCGTAAAAGTGCCCAAAGTGTGTATGATTCATTATCGGTAACATTAGTTCATATTAGATTATGTTAAAAATTTCATAAATGCATGCAAATAAATTCCCAAAAATTACAAAAATTGGTTATCTAGTTCTAACGAAGGGAATTGGTTCCCAGAAATTTTGTAAGCATTTTTGAAGGTTATTTGATATTCTTTGTAAATTAAAGACCAAATAATGGATAAAATTCAAAATAAATGGTAAACAGTTTCTGAAATTATCAATTTAATTTTTACAAGCTCCCATAACGTTCCTAAGGTTGAGAAAAATATCGGTTAGGGTCTTTGAGTCCAATGACCCAAATTTGTAAATTCATGCTCTAATTTAATGAAAAATATTTATAAAATACCAAACAGTGTCAAAATCATCTGAAAAGCTACATGCCTTTCTTATTCTATGAGTACATTACTACTACAAATATTCAGATTTTTATCTCTTCTAGAAACAATTATTTTGAATTTATAGCCATTATATCATTATCATTATAGAAAAACAAGGAATTTGTTCTAGCCCTTAGGATTTTACAGATCATCACCTGTATATATGAGCTTTCATAAAACAATTTCATTCGAAATATATTTAGAAAAAAAATGGGGTATTCAACCCCAACAAGTTAAGCAATGTAGCACAATATAGTGCATGGGTTCTAGATGTAGTTGATTGTTTACGAATTCTTATAGACCATTTTGTGGGGGTTTTAACCCATCAAATTTTAGACATAATTTGATGGATATATTAGGTTCATAAAATATTTTTCCCGAGATTTAATGTGGGGTGTAAGACCCTTGATCATGTAAAGGAAAACTAATGATCATAGAAAGACTTCCGTTTGTGCAATTATTTTGTAAAAATTGTCAAATTTTCAATTTTTAATATGTTATAGTAAGACCAATTGGGTTCGAAATCTAACTCAGATAACCATCCCTCACAAGAAGAATATCGTGATTTGGTTTAGTAATGAGTGAGTTGGGTCAGTTGTAATCTGAACAAAATATTCTGACAGAATGCATGCTATCCTAGGTTGCTTTGAGTGCCCTCTTAAGGGCACTTTGACAAAGACAAGATACATACTTCTATTTTCGTCAAAGATAAATATCAAGAAAAAAGAGTTTACCGTAGAAAAAGATACTTTTTGGTTCATTCATCCAAGTCATTGATCTAGGGTTATTCCAAGGCCCCAAAGTGGGTGTTTCATTCATTTGATAGAGAAATCCCTGGAACCACCGAATCTTACACTTGGATTGCACCACAAATCTGATTTCTAGCACATTCATGGAATGAACGAGCAACCAACATGTACTAGAAATAGTTTAAATACATTTTTTTAATGTAAGAACACAAAATAAATGAAGAAGAAGATGTAAAACTCGATTTTTTTAATCATATGAACATGTGTGCATCTTTTCACTCTTTGCATGGGTTTGATCCTGGATTTTCACCATCTCAAACACATGTATTATGTTATGGTGAGAATCTACAAACACCAAGAGGAAAAACAAGGATTTATAGCCATATAAGGTCATTGAATCCGAATAGTAACCAAGAACTATGAAGAAGAGGAAGTAAAATCATAAAATTATGATAACGGATTGTGTTGTTTACCTTGGTTTCGATCTTGAGAGAAGCACGATGTAGCGATCATCTTCTGAGGTATTAATTAATTTAATTTCTTGAATGTTAGTGAGCTTTGTTTCGTAATTTTCATCTTGGATTGGATTGGACCTTCATGAATTTTGGCCAAGATGTAAGCTGCCCATAAGTCGTACGCGGGGCGTAACCTGTCATATGCTGGGCGTAATGCCTTTAGTTTGCGCAGGTTGTGAGAGGCGTACACACATCATGCCTAGAGGTACGCCGAACGTACGCGACCAGGTGGCGAAACCCTAATTTTAGGGTTTGAGACATATTTAAACCCCATTATAGCCTCCCATTTGGCATCCTCACTTATCCATTACCCCCAGAGAACCCTAGTTCGTCCCTTTTTCCTTGTTGTGTGTGTGGTTGATATTTTGGGCTCATTTTTGTGAAGAAAACTTGGGAAAAAGAAGAAGAGAAGTGGAAGAAGGAGAACTTGAGTACCTTGAGCTCAAAGATCTGGAATCATTCCTTCATTTGGCATTCAAAAGAGGTATAAATCTTCCAACATTCCTCTTGTAAGCTTAGATCTAGAATTTTTTGGAAGTTTGGACCTTTTAGCTCCAAAGGAAGAGCCTTTTGATGGGTTTTGAGCATTCTAACACTTCCTAGGTGTACATGCTACCCTAATGACCTTGAATCTATGTTTTCTCTATATACATGCAAATTTCGTTTTCAAGGTTATTTCCTAACTAGCATGGCATGGGGAATGTATGAAACATAATAACTAGTAGAAAAACATACCTTGTTGTTGCTTGGATTCCTTTGAGACTTTGTGAGCCTAGCACCCCAAATGTTGTCCCTCGAATGCTTCACACAACACCAGAAAACTTGGAATAACTTGAGAGAATACTTCTAGCACTCAAAATCGGTTATGCCCTCTCTTGTAACCCCCTAGGTCCGATTTTACTAGCCAAAGGGTCCCTTGTATAGTGGTGTCACAATTAGGGTTTTCACATGAATACTCTTAATTGTCATGACTCTTCATTTCTCATGACCCATGGGTTTGTAACTCCCATGGACTATCCATGGAGCTCCAAACAGTTACATCCATAACCCATAAAACATGGATCATTAATCCACCATAAAAGAATTGATGATTATTATAATAAACCCTATCTATTTAATTAGTCTCACTTTGATCACCAAATTAATACTAGATTAATACTTGATCAATACTAATTAAATAACACTATTATTAATATATTAGAACTTATAATATATTAATAATCATAAGTGCCATATTCTCTCATTTAGTCTATCCAAGTATTGCAATGGCATGCAACCCAAATGGACCATGCCGGGTCGGATCAAGTACATACCAAATAAAGTTATGGACTTAGACACTATATCCAACAGTCTCCCACTTGGATTAGTGTAATAACTATATTTGCAAATATGACTTCAAAATCCGACTAGCAATCGTAGCTCTTTCAAAGTCTCTCGGAAGTGAGATGATGATGATACGCCATTTAAGATAAGTGATCATATAATCCTCTGCGCTCATGATATCAGCCGGACAAACACATGGAACATGGTCTTACTTATTATACAACATTTGTTTCTTGATCTCCAATTTGTTTTGACATAGAACTAACTTGAACACATCAATTAAGTTCTGACCGGGCCCGATATATAGGTCAAAACCAAATCATCGAGGGGCCCAGATATCGCTTCTATTTCTAGAAGGAACAGATAAACTTCGACTGATATGGTTATACTAACTACTTGTTGAATTACTCACAAAGGCACATTTTATAACATCGAG